TGCTTTCTGTGAGAAGTAAGTAGTAACTCTAACTAGTTACTCTTGTAATCCACTGCCATCCCATCATTGTTTTTTTTTTTCTCTGAGTCGTTGTGGTTCGAACATCACTCAGCTTTTAGAGCATTAGAATCCTTTAGGCCCCGCCCCTTTTTTTTCTCTGGCAGGAATTATTCCTGGATATAAATAACTGCATAAACCACAGATTTCTGATTCTAAGCATCTTTTCTAGCAGGATGTGTTTTTCTGATGACAGCTAAAGGATTAGATAACCGCCGCCGCTGTGCCGCCATGATCCCCTCCCATGGATCACACCGCTGGCCCAGGCTTAGGAGTTCATGGCGGTTCAGGCCCCAGCAGCTGGTCCCCCGCTGGAAGCAACATGAGGGATTAAATCCCACCGTACAGGCTGGACATCTGTGAACCGGAGGGTCGTCCTGACGTCAGAACATTTCCTGGCAGCCGTGCTGCACGGCGTAGCGGAATGACAGAAACATGCAGCCATATTCCTAAACCTGAGGATGTTCATATGTCCCAAAGGCAGAGGAAACGTCCTGCTTCACTGTGAAGAAGGAATCAGACTCATTGAAAGCTGCTTTCCACGATTCAAAAGAATCGAATCATTCAGAAAAAAAGCAGCATTTCACAGCTTTTCTTTATTAATCTAAACATTTACACCATGCTGGTTCTGACCTCCCTAACCATCTATGTTGATGAGCTTTAGAAAAAGCCAGACTCTATGTAACTTTTGACTGATTTAGATCTAAAAGGAGGAGACGTGAGGAACCGAAGGTACTCTCTCAGTAAATTTAACTTTAATTTGCTCTAACTGTAAGGCTGTAATCAGCCCCTGATGTGATGATGTCATCATTTAGTTGTTGTAGAGTTGTCCAATCGGATCACTTCTTGTATTTTTTTTTACCTTCTGAAAAAATCCAAAAACACAGCTGACGTGTTCGTCCAGCTTCTTTCTTCGCCTTTGGGTTTATCAGACTCGGATCAGAACCCCAGCAGAACCCGACCCATAGGAATCAGTTCTGACTCCAGCTTCCATCAGCGATGAGTCACAACGATTTGGCGGCTGCTGAAGTAAAACCCAGAACCAGAACATGGCTCATTATCCAGACCCTCCTCACCTACAAAGCAGCTCTGCTCTCCGTGTTTGCGGAGAGGAGGTTGCAGCTGCAGGAGGCAGAATGTTGGAAGTAAGCAAATAGGTGCTGAAGAAGCTGCAGGTGTTTGACAGAATCACGTCTTCTTCATCCACAGATTTGGAGAGAGGCAATTATGAAGCTCTACAGCTAAAAACAGCTTTTTACTGACATCTGACTGGAATCTTTGGAAAGACAACCAAAGCTGCGCTATCTGTGCTATCTGGACGTTAGCGGGATGTTCTGACCGACCCACCTTATGGAAGGCTGACCTGCCTCCCATCCCAAAAGGATGGGAGGCAGGTCAACCTTCTGCCTAATTAGTTTGCAGTTCCATGGTGCTTCATCTGGCAGCGTCACCATGACTCAGAGGCCACAGAATGATAAATATAGCAGCGGATGACCTCACACTCCTGCAAACACAGATAAATTCAGCTGTTAAGCATAAATCAGATGTTTTCTGGGGTTCAGAAGGTTTAAATATCTTAATGACCTCAGTGGCATCTGTAGATATTAACTCAGTTCTCTAGTAATCATCCTCTCATCAGATCCAACCACAAGGACTGCTATTCACTCGTATCTCTTCTAATCAGCCTGTCTTTTTTCTTATTACTGCCATGTTGCTCTGAAAGGCAGCATCATAACCCAGTTGGAGAAAAGTTTAGTGGATTTTTTTGATAGATGATTTTAGAATCCAGTTCTTTAACTCGGTTATGAGGCACTTATTATAAACTTTCCTCCTGCTCTCTGTGTCAGATGTTCAGTTATTCCTCT